CCTTCCTTCCTTCCTTCCTTCCTTCCTTCCTTCCTTCCTTCCTTCCTCCCTCCCTCCCTCCTTCCTTCCTTCTTCCTTTCTGTTATTTTTGAGAGAGAAAGATAGCACAAGTGGGGGAGGGGCAGAGAGAGGGAGAGAGAGACAATCTGTGTGGAGCCTGATGGGTGCTCGAACCCAGGAACCTTGAGATCATGACCTGGGCCAAAGTCAGATGCTTAACCTAAGGAGCCACCCAGGCCCCTCAGGGTGCTTTTCTATCTCTAGGGAAACAATTTGCAATCTTCTCCTTTTACGAATCACATGGCACAGGGATGCGATTTGCATAACAGGTGCCCACATTTTTTTCTGAGCTCTCATTTTGATTCTGACAGCTTTGGGAGGTCCTTCCCTGGCCACCCCCTCCCCAGCTTCAGGCCTGGGCCCTCGTCTTTGGAGACTCTCCCTGGGAGTGTCCTCTCCCTGTCCCCAACCCTTGGGTGAAGCCACCGTCTCTTTCGCACCTGTTAGAAGCAGCCTCTTCCAGGCAGGGCTGTGGCTGGGGCCGGCGTCCAGAAGACGCCTCATGCCGCGTTCGGTCTGGCGGCCGCAGAGGGGAGGTCGCCCCGTCTGGAGTGCGGCCTCCCTAGACAGACAGGCGGTTAAGTTCTCAGCCTTGGCCCCGCCCCCGTCCTGGCCACAGCCCCGCCCCCTTCCCCGGGCTCCCGCGTTGGGCTGGAAATTCACCTCCCAGATCCGTGCCCTGTGCCCTTCACTAGCACTGGGTTAGTGGTGGTGGTGGGTGGGGAGCACGCAGGGGCAGGATTCTGGGAGAAGGGGCTCTGGGGCTTTGTTCCCCTCCCTCTCTGCGCACCCCCCCCCAACCCTGGGAGAATGATGAAGATGAAGGGTGGGGCAGGATTGTCCCGCCTCTGTTACTTCACATCTGAGGAGAGAAATGGCCAAAGGTCATCAGGTAAGAGGTAGTGGGGAGGAGGAGGGGGGGGGCTGTTGCTTGCCTCCTGACTTTGCTCCAGCCTCCGGGACCGTCAGCTCCGAGCCTCCACTTTTCTCCTGTCTGAAATGGGGATGTTGATCATCGAGGGGCCTCAGAGTCGGTGGGGCCAATGGACATCAGATACCCCGCAGAGTGCCTGGCATATAGTAGGTGTTCAATAAATCGGCAGTGGCTGTTACAATAATGCTAAGTATTGCTGTTGGTATCCAGGATGTCCTGGGGGCATGCTAGGAAGCCCTTTCTCAGGGCCTTGCTCATACTACATCTGGAATTTTGGCTTCTGGAAGGATAAGCCACAAAAGCTCCTTTCTCTCAAGTTTTTGACCCATTCTTTTCTTAATAATTGTATCACTCATACTAATAGCTGCTGTTTACTGAACACCTACCATATGCCGGGCACAGCCCTTGCCCTTTAAGGCTTCTTGTCTGCCTGAATCCTCATTAGCAACCTCGAGGGCTCAGTGTGAGCATCCTCACTTTCCAGGGGCGCACAGAGGCTAAGTAACCCACCCAGCCTGACACAGCTATTCAACACGGCGTCTGTCGGTTCTCGGACGGGGCCACCTCAGGGCCTTAGCACTAGCCGCTCCCTTTTCTTAGCGCCTTACACAGATCAGTTCAAGTCTGACTGTATCTTATTGTTCCCATCTCAAATCAAATATGAACCCCTCAAAAGGACCCTCCCACATGCCTGCTGCAAGTCTGGCCTCGCTTCTTGCCAGCAAGGCGCCCTGTTTTATTTTCTTTCCAGCATTTGCCCGCTCATTTATCTCCCCTCTCCCACGCCTTCCGGGTCTAGAATGTCAGGAGGGTAGGGATCTTGTCTGAATTGTGCCTGGCTGTGTCCACAGCGTCTAGAACAGTGCCTGGGATATCATGGGTGCTCACTCATTTTTTCTTTTTTGAGTGAATGAGCGGATGAGTGTAACGGGTGTGTTGGAATTTGAACTCGGATCTGACTCAGCAGCTCGTGCCTTTCCCTCCCCGAGAGGTCCAGATTCTACGCTGGGGCAAAGTTTCACTCCCAGGTCTTTAAAAAGAGTCATTATCAGGTGACTTGGTTATATCTTTATGGGCGTTGGCCATTCTGCCTTTTTTTTCATGGTTTTTGTGAAGGCCTGCTGGGGTGATTAGCCAGGCCCGGGAACTACCAATGTGTGATGAGCACATATTTGCAACACAGTCAATAGCCACCTGTGGATGAGGAGCCTGTGGTTTCAGCTTGTCCAGCTTTCAGGGTAATAGCGCCTGGAGTTTCCTTTGAAAACCAGCTTTCTCCTGGTTCCGGGGAGAGGAAGCCCGGGTGTGGTCAATCAGAGCACTTCATCCTCCAACCACAGTGACTGGGGGGAGGGCTGGACACGTGACCGAAGTGTAACCGACGAGGAGGAGAAGGAGAAGGTGGCAATTCACCTTTATGGAATTTCTCTACCCAAAACCCAGCGCCCCAGTCTAAGTAGGAGAAACACTTAGCCAAACCTAAATCGAGGGACATTCTACAAAATAGCCTGCATTCCTTCCGGTGGCCACAGCCGAGAACTTGTTCGCAAAGGAGACTCAGGAGATGTGAGAACTAAATGCAGTGTGGGATCCAGGATCGGGGATCCGGGAACAGAAGAAGGACATTAGTGGAAACGTTGGTGAAATCTGAATAACGTCTAGAGTTCAAACAAACAAACAAACAAACAAACAAAAAAACAAGTCCCACTCGGAGGAGACAGTCACGACACTTTCCAGCATTTCCCGAGAACTTGACTCTGAGTGGGGCACGGTACGGGCAGGTGTCGCCACTCTCCTGGTACAGAGGAGGAAAGCGAGGCACAGAGAGCGTAGCCGACTTATCCGGGGCCGCGCAGCTCGTAGATGGCTGGGCAGACCCAGGCTCCGGGCGCTGGAGCCCATGATCTTAAACCTTATATACACCTTTGGGCCTCCTAACATCCATAGGTGTTAGATATTCTTTCTGTTTCTTTCTGAAACAGAGATACAACTGATGTGGTTAAATACTTTGTCCAAGGCCAGACTCTCCTAAGTCACACTCACCCCAAGCCGGTCTCACTTCCTCCCATCCTTGGACACTGAGTTCCCTGAGACACAAAGGTCCTGTTTTCCCGGCTTCTTGAGCCCTTGTGACATCATTCGTCTCTCCTGTTGTGTGTTCTGTGTTGTGTGTGCCAAGAGGCCCCCCTCCCCCCCGTCCTGCCAGGGGCTAGGGCTGGATGGTGGGGGGACGTCTTACTCCACATGTTTTGTGCTTCCATGGAAGGACTGTTCAGAGGCAACCCGAGCTCCCTCCAGGGGGTTTGGAAATATCTGCCTACCTTTGGGTTGTCACAGGGCCTGAGGACAGAAGGGTGTTGACGCGTACCGGACTAAACAGCCTGCAAGAATATGCAGCACTGTCCTTTATGGCAGAGACTCGTGTCGCCTAAAATGCAGTAGAGCCCCGGTTAGAAACCTGGAGTTGGAATAAGGCTCCGGTTTTTGTCCTTCCGTCCCTGTTAGGCTGATGAGCCTGGGAGAGGAAACGGAGCTTTGTGTGGTTCGGACCCAATCCCTCCGTTTTTTATTTTATTTTATTTTTAAATGGTTATTTATTTTTGAGAGAGAGAGAGCACAAACAGGGGAGGGGCATAGAGAGAGAGGGAGACACAGAATCCGAAGCAGGCTCCAGGCTCTGAGCTGTTGGCACAGAGCCCGACGCGGGGCTTGAACCCACGAGCCGGGAGATCATGACCTGAGCCGAAGTCGGCCGCTTAACTGATTTTAAGTCTCCCCTCCAGTTGCCGGCAGAAAAGAGGATGTCTTTTGCAGAGTATCTGCAGCTTTTCCTGCAAGGCAGGCAGGAAAGACCAGATACGGGTTTCCCCCTGGATGTCGGAGGCTGCAGACAAAATGTCTCAGGGGTTTTAGATTGTGGATTCATTCGCTCAAGCCTTCCTTCTTCCGATCTGCCTTTCCGGGCTACCGAGGCTGGGAAGCTAAAACCACGCTGCCTCACTTCCCTCGAAGCCAGGGCTCTGCCAGTCTGACCCACTGCATGAGATCCGGAAAGGGGAAGCGAAATGGTGGCCATGCTTCTGTTTCTGCCACGGATTTCGACAAGCACCGTCAGGTAGAGGCTGTGTCTTTTTCTGGGGCATCAGCAGGAACTGGCTTCGTGCATTTGGAGGGGCTCTTATCTGTGTGCATCTAGCAAGCGTGGTCCGGTTCTGGAGCCGACAACTCCGTAGTGGAGCAGAAATGTGAGTTCCCGCATTTCTATGCTGGGGGAGGTAGCAGCTCCTCCAGCGGGTCAGTTCTGTGGCTTCAGAACTGGGGGGAGGTGCTGATGGAATCAGCTTCCTTTTCCTTCCCATCAGAGAGCACCCAGCTGTCTTCCCCTGGGGTGGGTCTGTCTCCTTGAGCCTCTCAGAGTGGGAACCAACCCAATCTGAAACCAGATGCACAAGAAGGTCGCAGCACCAGACCTAGTCTCCCAACATTTAGAAAGTACAGGTTGCGGGGGCATCTGGGGGGCCTCAGTCGGTCGAGCATCTGACTCTTGATTTCGGCTCAGATCGTGATCTGGGGGTTGTGGGATCTGAGCTGCACGTGGAGCCTGCTCAGGGTGCTCTCTCTCCTCCCCCTGCTCCTCCTCTGCTCTCTCTTTCTCTCTCTAAAATAAAAGAAAAAGAAAATAAGAGGCATTAGCCTTTCCCACGTGAAAGCAATTTTCTCACGTTCCTGTTTCTATCACAGCCCACAGAAGGGTAGGAGGGAAACACTGGCGCGTCCCCCCCACAGCCACGGGGATGAGCCCTCCTGAAAGTGGGTCTTTTACCCCCAAACACGCCTTCGGTTGAGGTCACTGCAGCTTCGCCCCTCATCCTCACGAAAACTCACGAGAGGCCCCGAGTCAGCGCTGTCTTGGTAAGCGGCCCCCCAACTGCTGACACACAGGCGTCCTCCTAACTTTGCAAGCCACGGATTTTCCGAGCGGTTTGTTACCCAGCGGTTGATGCACCCCGATACGAGGACACCGGGCAGATTCAACGAGGTGGTATAGACGTATTGGAGTAGGGGGCACACTTAATTTTAATGCTATCCGTTACTATTTAAATGTTTACTATGGTTTATCATACTCCGTTCCCCCCTCCCCCGCAGAGATTTAAAGTCAGTCCCCTACATGTGCGCTTAGGCTGAACTGAGAGCCACGCGCCGGTCCTTGGGGGGTGGGAAACAACACCCAAATGGAAACGTAATGTGAGCTCTACGTGTTTTAAAATTTGCTAGCAGTGACGTTAAAAAGCAGAAAGAGGGGCGCCTGGGTGGCTTGGTCGGTTACGCGTCCGACTTCGGCCCAGGTCATGATTTCGCGGTCCGTGAGTTCGAGCCCCGCGTCGGGCTGTGTGCTGACAGCTCAGAGCCTGGAGCCTGTTTCTGATTCTGTGTCTCCCTCTCTCTCTGCCCCTCCCCTGTTCATGCTCTG